GGCCCTTGCAGCTCTCTCCTGGGCAGTATTTCACCTGGTTCTTTTCTGGTTTCCAAATAATAACCTCTTCTACAGTACTGCCATTAAGAGCAATAAAATCTTAGCCAGAACTTACCTCAGTCCTGAGCTTTTGATGTGCCAAATGGGATTTTAAGGAGAAGCTATAAAAAGGGGAAAATACATGTATCCCTCAGGAGTATGTCTGCTTGTACTGTGCTCTTTATATTAATTACAAAATCTTAAGCCTTAAAATAAAATAATATAAGCATATGGTAAAGCAAAATTTAAATGTTAGTAAAACAATATAAAATGAGAAATAATGGCTCCTGTCTCATCTCATGTCCCGACTGAAACCCCAGTTTCTGTCCTCAAAGGGTAACAGTTTTATGGCAGCCTTTCTCTCAAGCTTCGTGCGTGCGCCTGCCTGTTTCATGCACGTGCTTTTATAGGGAAGTACACACAAATGATACATACCGAACACACTGTTTTGCATTTTGTTTCCTTCAAAAAGTGTCATGGAGTTCTTGCCATACCCACATACATGGACCTATCTTGTAGTTAGGGTCCACTGTGTGGACATCCACTATGACAGTTTATTTAAGCAATCCTGTAATGATGGCTATTTCAGTTGTTTTTAGTTTCTATACATTTTTTAAAAATTTTCAGAGAATATCTTGTTACAAACACTTCTGTAGTTTCCTAAAAGAACAATTCCTGGGTCAAATGTATAGGCACTTAAAATTTTATGACCACAATATGACCACTGCCCTCCAATGTGATTGGATCAGTCTGTATTCCCAGCATCAATGTCACGGGGGCTTGCTTATTCTTACGCCTATCAATTCTGGCAGCATGAAATCACTGGCCAAGCTGGTGGATCAGGGTTTTCCCAGTGTGGTTTCTATTTGCTTTTCTTAAATTATAAGTATGGTAGAGCATCTTTTCATTTGCTTATAAAATATTTATACTTGGTTTGCTATGAATGACCTGTTTATCATTCTTTACCTAACTTTCTTTTGATCTGTTGCCTTTTTCTACTTACATATTTTCGCACTCAGCAAACAGGAAGCTCCTACTATGTGGTGAGCACTGTGCTGGGCGTTAGCGCTCTAATGGCAAGGAAACACCTCTGTCTTTGCCCTTTTGGAGCCCACAGCGAACTGGGAGACAGACTTTCACCAAGTCGCACTCTGAACGGGTGGGCACGCTGAGCTAAGCGCCTTGAAGGAAGAGCTCTGGCATATCTCAGAGCAGGTGAGAGAGAGACAAGCCTGCACTAGGGGTGGGAGGAGCCTGCACTGAGGAGCTGACAGCTAAAGAACAAAGAGAAAAACGACAAGTACCATAACATTTTACTTATATGTGGAATCTAATGAACAAAATAAACTAACAAACAAAATAGAAACAGACTCACAGATACAGAGAATAAACAGACAGCTGTCGGGGGTGGGGTCTGTGTGAAAAAAGTGAAAGGCTTAAACACACACACGTAACCTCAGACAGACAACAGTGTTGGAATTACTAGAGGGAAATGGGGGTGGGGGGTAGGAGAGGGTAAAGGGATAAATGGTGATGGAAGGAGGCTTGGCTTGGGGTGGTGAATACACAATATACAGATGATGTATTATAGAATTGTACCCCTATATAATTTTATTAACCAATGTCACCCCAGTAAATTCAATTTTTAAAAAAGAACAAACAGGACTGAGGGCTGGGGGAGCACACCTGGAAGGAGGTACTGCATCCTGGAGGGAACATGGTGTGTCAGGTGAGCTCAAAGAGACCCCGAGAGCAGAGCACAGAGAGAGCAGCGACACCAGGATGAGACTGGACCACATCACGGGGGCCCTGACCCGTTAATGATTGGGGTCTTTCCCTAGAGAAACAGAAAACTATTGAAGGATTTTGAGCTATAGTTGGTGATCAAATCTGTATTCTAAAAAGATCACTCTGGCTGAAAAGGAGGAAACAGGAAGAATGAGTAGAAGGTTTTGAGTTGGAGCAGATAAGCTCTGATAGTAGCTTGAACCTTGACTGTGGTTGTGGACATGAAGAGAAGCAGATGGATTCAAGAAATATGGAGGAGGTCAAATAAAATTTGATGATGGATTGGACAAAGGTGATAAGGAAGGAAGAAAGTGTCCAGGATGACTCCTAGGTTTCTAAGTAGATGATGGTACCATTTACTGAAACAAGAAGATTCAGGGATGAGTTCAGTCTTAGACAAGACGTCTGAGTGAAGCTGTCAAGTAGGCAATTAGATACAAAAGTCTGATATCAGAGGAAAAGTCTGGATTGGAAACATAAATCTGGAAGTCACTGAATACAGTAATTAAAACCATGGACATAGGCGCAATGACCCATGAAAGAAGTACAGCACCTAAATCACATCTACTCTGAATCCCTAAAAAATGCTAATATTTAGTAGCCGAGTGGAAAAAGATGCAACAGAAAGGAAAAACAGAAGCCTGAGAGCAGATGGAAAGCAAGCTGAGTGTAGTGTCCCAGAAACCAGTGAAAGAATGTTTCAAACAGGGTGGAGTGGTCCACAGTGCCAATGCCGCTGAGATGTCTCATGAGAAGGGCCTGGAACATGCCCGCTGGACTCAGCAACATGGCGGTCTTGGTGACATTAATATGAATTGTTTCAATGGAATAATGGGAGCAGAAGTCAGACAGGAGATGGTTGAGGAATGAATGGCAAATGAAGAAATGGAAACACTGTATGGCTCACTCTCAAGAAGTGTGCAATGGTTTTGTTTGTTTGTTTGTTTGTTTTGTTGTTGCTAATCCTCACCCGAGGATATTTCTTCCATTGCTTTTTAGAGAATGGAAGAGAGGGAGGGAGGGAAAGAGAGAGAGAAACATGGATGTGAGAGAGACATATTGATTGGTTGCCTCCCACACACATCCCAACCAGAGCCAGGGATCAAACCTGCAACCTAGGTATGTGCCCTTGACCGGAAATCGAACCTGTGACCCTTTGGTCCACTGGCTGATGCTCTAACATCAGCCAAGGCTCAAGAAGTGTGGTTTTTTATACAAAACAGCACAACCCTATTCTTCTTCATTGTCTATTTTGACCCTTCTTTGCCACTCAATATATTGAATTGATTTTATAATTCAGACTCAGTGTTCCACAGCTGTGGTCTCAGTAACCATGGCAACCAGAGAGGGGCAGAGTCTGCAAGGGAGTTCTCCTGGAAACTGAAGGCTCTTCCACCCCTTGGAGAAGCCTCCATTGTAGAGTCACTACTGAAAATGGGGTTAAGAAACAAAGAGTCCTTATGTTTTAGAGACACCTTACTGAAAAGTGTAAGGCTAAATGGGGCCTGGGTTTGCAAAGTGAAATAAGATAAGCCATGAGTTGATCATCCAATTATTCAAGCTGGGGAATAGGTACCTGGAGGTTTATTATGTTGTTCTCAATACTTGTGTTTATGTATAAATTTTTCCACAATGCATTGTAAAAAATTAAATTTAGGAACTCTCTATAGTGAAAGTTCAAAGAGCCAATGACCAGCCCAAGACCCACTGTTTACATGGTTGTTAAAACAGGATCTCCTTGCCCTGGCCAGTGTGTTTCAGTGGTTAGAGCATCGGCTCGCCAAATGAAGGGTCACAAGTTCGATCCCCAGTCAAGAGCAGGTACCTGGGTTGCAATTTCAATCCCCAGCCCTGGTCGGGTGCATGAGGGAGGCAACCAATCAATGTGTCTCTCTCACATTGATGTTTCTCTCTCTCTCTCTCTCTCTCTCTCTCTCTCTCTCTCTCTCTTTCTCTCCCCTCCTTTCTCCCTTCCACTCTCTCTAAAAAGCAGTGGAAAAATATCCTCAGGTGAGGATTAACAACACCAAAAAATACAGGATCTCCTTTAATTCGCCATTGGCTTGTGGGCTTCAAGGTGCCACATGTCTAAGGGAAGAAAATCTGCTCTCATGTGCTGTCCTCTCATCCCTCATAACCCTAACTCCTGTTTCTTACCCCTCCTCCTTGAAAAACTCCCTGTGAATTTGGACTCCAAATCACAGTTCCATCACTTACCATCTCTGTCCATCTCCGTGAACTTGAACAAGGTCCCTCTGGTCTGTGAACCAAGTTTCTGTGAGTTGCACATCTATTCAGCAATGTTGTGAGGGTTAATTTTGACAGTATATATGGAAGTATCTAACGTAGCTCACAGCCTCAAAGGCCTTGAACTCAGGGAGGAAATAGAAATGAATGAAGCACATTCATTTTTCTGGCAGGGGAAAATCTTGTGAAATTGCTTGGTCTGTCTTTAGCTTTGCCACTTTTGGGAGACATACAAGTAGAAAAATTCATTCTATAAGAAAAATTGCAATGTAAGCATGATCACAAAAGGAATAAATAATTCCTATTCATTAATAAATGGGAAATAAACTGAGACTGCCTCAGCTTTGGGAAGCATTAGGGAGTGGTGGGGATTAGGGCACCCAGAGCATGCAGGCTCCATTGGAAAGGAGCAGTCCACCATAGCTCCAATGATTGCCGCCTCAAAGGAGTAGAGCCAATGTTAATATGTATTCTTGTTTTACAAGACAAGCTAGAACTCTAAATTTTTTATGTGAAATCTCCTAATTCTTAAATTTAAGTTCAATTATATTTTCTAAAAAAAACAACAATATGAAGGCCAAATTAAGCCCATCTGCAGGCCAAAATCAGCTGCTGAGCTGCCAATGTGTTCAACCTCTCACCTAGATAATGACACATCATAATTTCCCCTCACCTAACCACTCTCACCCTTCATGGCTAAGGTAGAAGGAATCAAAGTGGGTTGAAGAGGTGATGAAGCCCGAAAGGATGTGATCTAGATGCCTCATCCTGCCCCAGGGCCTAGATCAGTGCCTGGCACATAGTGGATCCTAATGAAAACCTTGATGAACCAATAAGTCAGTAACTTGGTGGGCAGAGATCAGTCAGTTCAGTTTCTTGTGTACACCCTGGGCTTACCTAAGAAACTGTCTCATTTTTCTCGACAGCCTTGCGAAGTCGTTCTGGTCGCTCCATCATCAACGGGAACTGGGCAATTGACCGGCCTGGAAAATACGAGGGCGGAGGGACAATGTTCACCTACAAGCGTCCAAATGAGATTTCGAGCACCGCCGGAGAGTCCTTTCTGGCTGAAGGTCCCACTAATGAGATCTTGGATGTCTATGTGAGTTTGGATGTTTCTGGGCTGTTCTCTGGATTCTGTATCCTGTTGCTTCTAAGGGCCACACTTAGAACAACTGAGCAACAAGCCATTGCCCATGCTCAGTAAGACCGTCTGAAGACCGTCTGAGCAGTCTTTGGAGGTGCCCTTACATCTCAGCCTTCATCTTCACCACTCACCCTGAATGTCCTGAGCTCACAGAAACCTTAAACTCTACCAGATGCTTAGAACCCTCAGAGTTTATTGACCCAGTAAAACCAGTTTTACTTGTTGAACCAAATCAGAGGCAAACATATCCTTTATTTCATGAGTATGGGCCCTCCTCCAGGCACTCTCCTCCTCATGCTAATTTGGCACGTTTTCTTTTTATGGCAAAGAAAAGCAACTGCCTAAAGCAGGACAAGACCACTCAGTCCCCAGCTCGCTTCAAATGCTATTAAAGCAAATGAAGACAGGAGAACCCCAGAGCGCTCCAGATGACCCAATAAAGCTGCGTAGCACTACGGGGCTTTGCTGGGCATCCCCTGCTTCACAGGAGACAGCACTTCGACCTATTTAACAAGAAACCAAATTGTTAAGTTATACAGAGTTAAAAACGGTCTTTATTTTTTCAAGAAACCACTAGAATCCAGTCTTCTTAAGAACATCAGGAAATAAAAGGTGACAAAAATGAAAAGCTTGAAATTGGTTTTTGTGATAAAAGGAATGAGCTCACTCATAGACGTGCATTCTCTGACCACCCCAAAGCTAGCTGTGTGAGTTTTATAAATATTACTTCTCCTACTATACAGTTACATGTTCTTTCCTCTTGGGCCTAGTGGCTCGTGGACTAGAAACGATAAAGAAAGCCTTGTTATAGTTAATTTTGGATATTTTTTTACACTGTCCAGTGGGTTGTTGGACTCTGGGTAGGTTTAGAATAGCATCAGGGATGAAAAACCAGATTGTTAAAGGCCCACTGTGGGTGGTCTAGGATGTGGTGGCCAACGATCATTTTATAAATGGGACCAGGTTTGTACTGGCAGAAGGCTCCTGCAGCTGAAGAGGCACAGAAGAGGGAGAGAAGGTTTCCGGCCGCAGACCGATGGTCCAATTGTGTGAAAGGAGAAGTAAGTGAGGCGATGAGGGGTAGACAGCGGGGACCTGAGATCACACCACGGTGTCTCTCAGAGCTCTGTGCACCCCACCAGTGGTTCTCGGGTCCACCTTCCATCGAGACTTACAGAGTGGAGGCCCCACTTCATAGGCAGGGGAGAGAGGGCCGGGATGGTGGCATAAATGGACATAATAGACACACTCAGGAACCAAACTCAGAGATGCTTGTAGATAAAAGGACTTGAGATCAGCTGTGATTCTAACTTCCTGCTTCTCCAGATGAAGAAATCAAAACTGAAATTAAGGGACTAGCTCTAGGTTACACAGCTGGTCAGCAGGAGAGCCCCTGTATAAGGCAATAGAGACAGAAATATCAAAATGTGACAGAGTCTCCTTGCCTGGTCACCTTTACTCTAAATTCTCTTTCTGCTGCTGCCGTGAGGAAAGCGTGGACCTCTGTGCTCCAGAGCCAGTGGGAGGGGTGCTCTTCCAAGCCATGCTCATTTATTTTGTGCTTTTGCCCCAAACAAGTCTCACCGCCCTGCTTTTGTCATCGGTTCCTGAGAGAGTAGGACCCGGGGAGAATTACTTCTTTACACCTGTTTTCCTGACCCCACCTCTGGTGGTCCTGCAGCCTTCTGTGGATGAGAAGAGGGGGGCCCTAGAGGCAGAGAGGAAGGGCTTGGGGCAGGCCCTGGCTGAGGCAGCCTCACTGGCCAGGCAGAAACCTCGAGAGAACCTGAAGGATCCAGGCTGGTTCTGCCAGCGGTCGGCCCTTCTTTGCACGACCCTATCGCCACCTAGTGTTCAGATGGGTTCTCGGTAGTGTCAACATGGATCTAATTGGACATCTTGAGAGCACTGAGCACAGTCTCAGCCACGGCATGGGTGGTTCCCCTACCATTGCTCCCATCTTCCTATTTGGACTTTTTACAATGTTGACTTTCAGCCTCGTTTTCTTTTAAGTTTTTCACTCTTCAAAAGCAAATAACAAAAAGCTATCTGGAAATAGTCCACTAATATTATTAGATGTGAATCAACCTACTCACTTATAGATAGTGCCACTTAGTGCACTGAACCCAGAGCCAGGAGGCCAGGGCTGTGCGTGCCAGCGCCGTGACATTAACCTTGTGTTTTCAGATGATACACCAGCAGCCTAACCCGGGAGTCCACTACGAGTACGTCATCATGGGGACCAACGCCATCAGCCCACAGGTGCCACCTCACAGGAGACCAGGTAAAATCCCTTGTTTTGCTGTCAAGCATTCGGGTCATATCCTTCTAAAGCCCCTTCTTGCTTCTTCTTGTGCAGCTGCCCTCCGTCCTTAAATCAGCACAGAGAAAACCCAGGGACAGCCCAGCCGGTGTGGCCCCATGGACTGAGAGGTCTGTTAGGTTCCTGGTCAGGGCACATGCCTGCCATGCAGGTTCGATCCCCAGTAGAGGGCGTGCAGGAGGCAGCCAACCCATGATTCTCTCTCACATCTCTCCCTCTAAAAAATCAATAAAAATATATTTTAAAAAAGAATAAGAAAACCCAGGGACAAGTACTTCAGAGTAAGTGGCCCAGATGTCAGAGGAAGCTTCACCATTTTTCTGAGCCTCCACTAATTTGAAAATGAAGTGAACACCCTGGTCTTTTCCTCCACGTCCTCATTTTGAAATGCCCTCTACCGGTGTCCTGTTGCTGCCATGAGAAACCGCCTCAGCTTAGTGGCTCAAACAACACAGATTTCCTCCTTCACCGCTGCCGGTCAGAAGGCCAGCGTGGGTTGGCTGGGCCGAAAGCAAAGTGTTGTGGCCCTGCCCCCTTCAGAGGCTGTCGGGAACCCGTTTCCCTGCCTTTGTCACGGTGGCCACTTGCTTTCCTTGGCTCACAACCCCTTCACATGTCTCTCCGACTCTGACCCTCTGCCTCTGTCATCACCCTCCTGCCTTTCTTATAAGCTCTTATTTGGACCACCCAGACAATCCAGGATGATCTCTGTCACACTCTCAATCACTTCTGCAAAGTCCATTTGTCATGTAAGGTGACATATTTCAGGCTCCAGGGATTAGGACACAGATATCTTCTGAGGGCCACTGGTCTGTCCGTCAGTGCCTTTTCTCTTGGTCCCCTTTTGCTTCTTTTATCACTACTTGGACCTGTCAGAAAAGAATACTGAATTCACACCTAGCAATTTGCCTCTCCGCTGTGAACTCTGCTGATGGACAGAGCAGGCCTCGTTCGCTTGGGAATGGCACACACTCGGGCTCCGCAGCTGTTCCTTTACCGAGTGATGACGGAGCCCACCACCCAGATGGAGACTGTCTTTTCCTTCTTTCAAACAGGAAGGTCTGCAGAAATATTAATGATGATAGCGTTCACATACACTGAGTCCTTGCCATGTGCAGGACACTGCTGATCCCTTCACATAGATCAGCTTATCAGATTTTCACCATAGCGCTTAGAGGGAGGTTCTCCTATCAGCCTCACTGTCACAGTGTGGAAGCGGAAGCTTGGAGAGATTGGGTTCTTACTCAGATCTTACAGTGACCACAGGCCAGCCTGTGTGACTAGACCTGTGCTTGTTATACTGCCTAGAGCCTACCTGGTCCAACGCCTGCCCTATGGAGTGAGGGGAGAGGTGTGAGACCTGGCCCATCCATCCTTCTCTGGGTTTCCAACCCGATAACTAGATTACCTGATTGTCACAGGTCAGGGAGGGGCCGCCTGGAGACAGCAGCCTGGTGTGTGTCAGACACATGGGGTACATGTGTTGTTCAAACTCCAAGTCAGCATACCCAGCCTAGCAGAATTTTTAAGCCATTTTCAGGAACAATACACAGTCTGAGAACCAAGTCCAGAGGGCAAACTATTGAGATACTGAAGCTGATGCTGATTTATAAGGGCATTTGGACAGACCATTTGAAATCATATAGGATGATGATAATTAATAACAAGTCTAATGGGTTTCACCTAACAGGTAACATGGGGTTCTGGGATCAGTTGCCTGGCACCGGGCAGATCCAGAGGGGTCAGTTGTAAAATGTTGGTGAGGAAGGGCATTCTGGACCAGGCTCCATCCTCCATATCAACTGAGTCAGGAGGACAGAACCTGAATCCAACTCTGCCACTTTGCTGCTGTGCGTCTTCAGGCAAATCAGTAACTTCTCTGATCACATTCCCCATCTGTAAAAACAGAGAGGAAAAAACTGCACTCGGTGGTTTGGGTTGGTTTGGTTTGGTTTGTTTGAGGGGGCAGCGGCAGGGGCGGGTGAATAAATTAGGTGTCAATGCTAGTGCTCAGTACATACAAAGTACTCAAAAGAGCCCTGGCTGGTTTGGTTCAGCGGTTAGAGCATCAGTCTATGGACCAAGGAGTCATGGGTTCAATTCCAGTCAAGGGCACGTACCTCGGTTGCAGTTCAATCCCTGGCCCTGGTTGGGGTCGTGCAGGAGGCTACCGGTCCATGTACCCCTCTCATGTCAATGTTTCTCTCTCTCTCTCCCTCCCTCCCACTCTGTTTGAAGATAAATGGGGGGAAAAACGTCCTCGGGCAAGGATTGAAAAAGAAAACAAAATATTCGCCCAGCTGGTGTGGCTCAATGGTTGAGCATCAACCCACGCACCAAGAGGTGGCCCGATCGATTCTCAGTCAGAGCACATGCCCAGGTTGTGGGCCTGTGCCCCAGGAAGGGGCATGCAGGAGGTGGCCAGTCGATGTTCTCTCTCATCGATGTTTCTGTCTCTCTCTCCCTCTCCCTTCCTCTCTGTAAAATCAATAAAGAAAAAAATTTAAACAAAAAATAAAGTACTCAAAGATTTTTAAATGTTTTTCACTGACAACATCTTGGACAGTCTCATTTATATTAATATGCCTGGTCTTGACTCTGTTGGTTTAATCTGCATGTAATGTTTTAAACCATGAAGTATTATAAGTAGCAACTAAATAAAAATGTGCTTGCCCTGGCTGGTTTGGCTCAGCGGTTAGAGCGCCGGCCGGTGGACCAAAGAGTCAAGGGTTCAATTCCAGTCAAGAGCACATGCCTTGGTTACAGTTCAATCCCTGGTCCTAGTCAGGGTCGTGCAGGAGGCAACCAGTCTATATGTCTCTTTCGCATCAATGTTTCTCTCTCTCTCTCCCTCCCTTCAACTCTATCTGAAAATCAATATGTGTTTAGGTGAGGATTAAAAAAAAGTGCTGGTGAAGGGGCAAAGAAAGCCCCTACATTTTAACTGAATTTGACGGTAACTCGAGAATTTGCCTCCTTATTTTGTATTAAACTAACATATGCTTGGATAGATATTGCCAAATTACTCTCCAAAATTTCTGTCTTATTTGCAGACTCCCCCACAGTGTATGAGAATGTATTTCCTGGTGCCTTCAACAAGGGCTTTAGGGACTTAAGGGTTTCCAAGGTTCTGACCTTCAGTGTCAGGCGTGGTGTTCTTGTTTTCGCAGGAGTCCTTCACCTCTGAGGGAAGTTGAGCGCTGTTGTATGACTTCTGGCTGCTTGCATTTCTTTTTGTGTGAAGTGCCTCTCCCTGGCCCTTGCCTGCTTTTCCTACTAGGATGTTCATCTTTTTCTTATTTGTTATTCATAATGTTTTAAACATTAGGGAAATATGTGTCTGCTTATTTTAACTGTATGTGCTATGACTTAGAAGTGACCTCATGCTACCTGGCTTCTAATGTTGAAGTAGTTTCCTGTTTAACGACTCACCGTCCAGACTGGACTCACCTGTGCGTGCGCCTCTCCAGGGGAGCCCTTCCGCGGCCAGCTGCTCTCCGAGGGGCCGCGTCAGGAGGAGGCCGCGCAGGAGAGGCCGGAGGAGCAGGGGGAGCTGCACGGCGGGGCACCGGAAGTATTCACCCCGGAGTCAGCGCAGACCTTCTCCATGAGGCATCCAGATAGATTTTCTTCCCACCGGCCAGGCAGTCTGGTGCCACCAGCACCACAGGCCCCACGACGAAGCCGAGATCACAACTGGAAGCAGCTCGGGACCACGGAGTGCTCCACCACCTGTGGGAAAGGTGAGCTCAGGTGTGGGCTGGCAGGGCCTCTGCGGGTCCCAAGTGACAGGCCTGCAGGGGTGCTGGCGACACGGCAAAACCTCACCTCCGCGAGCCTGGCCCTGAGATGGCTCACTAGTATGAAGTTGTGTTGGGGGTTCCCCAAGACCACCCTCAGGCTCCACAATGCACTAGAAGGACTTACCAGACAGAAAGCTGCCATGCTCATGGTTACAACTTATTACAGTGAAAAGATGTAGATTGGACTTGGCAACGGGAGGCAGAAAGCGAGCGGTAATTACACATCGAGGCCAAAGCCATTTTGGCAAGGACCTGTACATGACACGACAGAGGTAAGCAGTATGAAACATAGCTGACGTAGGAATCAAAAAGCATTATTAGCCCTGGCCAGTTTGGCTCAGCGGTTAGAGCATCGGCCTGCGGTCCGGAGAGACCCGGGTTCGGTTCCCGCTAAGGGCACGTACTTCGGTTGCAGTTTGTCCCCGGCCCTGGTTGGTCGTGCAGGTGGCAGCCACTCGATGTGTCCCTTCACGTGGATGTTTCTCTCTCTCTCTCCCTCCCACTCTATCTGTACAAAAAATGGAAAAGTATCCTCGGGGGAGGATAAAAAAAAAAAAAAAAAGCATTATTAGTGAAATATTCTGCCATTTAGGTTACGGTGTGATACCTGTTCAGGACCTGGACTTACTCAGAACCAGGTGGAAACAAGGGAAAGTTATAAAATGTATAAAAATGGTTGTCACGTGGTTTTATATCAAAGGTGGCATGTGTAGATTCTCTTCCAATTTATGTCATTAAAGATGGCCTGGCCGAGCCCTTCCAGGAGGGTGAGGTGTAGCCCTGTCCGGAGACCATCAGGCATTGCATTGCGGACATAATGGGATGAGGACCAAAGCAGATGCCATTAGCCAGCTCGCCCCTCATGCTGCTCACACAGTCTGTTCACTGGATGATGCCACTTACTCATCCAGGAGGTCAATCAGCTGGTGTCTGTCCGTTCTACCCCAGACTTGATGGAGGGACCCTGGATTCAAAAATTCTGGTTATCTTGTCCCCACACCACCACTCCACTGTTTATGGTCCACAGTGAAATAAAAATCAGCCTCTCTTACTGTTCTCTGATATCTGGACCGCACATTCCTGCTGCCCCTTCACCATCTAGCTCAGATACCACCTCCTCTGTGAAGCCCTTCCTGATTCTGCAAGGCAGGGGTAGGCAGTTCTTCTCTGGGACTTCACAGCACTCGGGGCACGGTTCTTCCTGCCCCACTCTGCGTGGCCGTCTCCATGGGCGCCTACTCTGCAGCCCCTGCACCTGTGTCATACCAAGTGCACGCTCCTCGGAGCTTCCCGGATGAATGGTGTATCACTACGTTTCAAATATATACATCAGCCATTTGAAAAGATATAAGGGGAGCATTTACATCTTCATTACATCTTGGATATACAAGTCTGTTACTGCCTTTACCCATGTTCTGTTAGTCACCTAAGGAATGTGCATTTGTTTTCAAAACTGAAGAATCTTTTTCTCTGTATTTTTATTAATGTTCTAAGATAGTCTTTCTCCTTTGCATTGTGGACACACACACACACACACTCACTTCACCTCTGCCACTCAAAGCCTAAAATGACATGCCCATCCTCTTCTTTATCCTGTTAAACTACATTGGTTCTCAGGCCAAAGTGCTACTGACGAAGTGCCTTGGAAATAGAACAAAAACAGAGATGTATTATTCCCTTACCCCTCCCTTCTCTCCTACTCCTAGCCCCCCTTTTCTCCCATGTGAAAAACAGCAGCAGCCCTTGGATGCCCCTCCTTTGCTCCCTCGAAGGTTCGCTCCCAGACATCAGAAGCCTCAGTCAGCCCTGGCCAGTTTGGCTCAGCAGTTGGAGCGTCAGCCTGCGATCCAGAGAGACCGGGGTTCAGTTCCCGCTAAGGGCGTGTACCTCGGTAGCAGTTTGTCCCCGGCCCTGGTTGGTCGTGTGGGTGGCAGCCACTTGATGTGCCCCTTTCACGTCGATGTTTTCCTCTCTCTCTCTCTCTCTCTCTCTCTCTCTCTCTCTCTCTCTCTCTCTCTCCCTCTCTCTCCCTCCCACTCTATCTGAACAAAAAATGGAAGAAAAAAAAAAAAGCCTCAGTCAGACGTAAAGGGCGGGGAGGCCGTGTGGACGCCCCAGACATTGAGCTCGTCTCACGGACGTCAGCAGTAGTGACACGTGTGCCATGAGAAGAAAATCTAGCCTGCCAGTGCTGTCCAGCTCTTTTCTGCGCAACCCAAGTCCATTCCCCTTGTGCCCTCATCATTGGTCCCCACACTGACCCTCTCCCAAACTCTTCTCTTGTCCTTCTTGGTGGAACTAACCAGACCAAGCATTTCTATGCCTGTCACACTAAGATGTCCCTTTCTGTGGATGCTTTTAGCAGCATCACAGGAGAGCCTGTCACAGGCATTCAGGTGTGGCCTGTACTCCGTCCAGTCATTGCTAAGACCCCTATCTGGTCAAACTCTTGGTTTAATTAGTTGATTCCTGGAGTTCCAAGGCTGGAGTTATTTATTTTCTTGCCCCTTATTTCGTCCATCTCTCCATAATGCCTCACAGCTCCAACATAACAGACTTCTGTTTTGATCAACATACCCAACATACAACCCAACTAAATTGATCCCAGATTCTTCCTGCTGCCTGAAGCCCAGCTGGCACCTGACCTCACCACCCGAGTCCTGCTTGCCAGCAATTAGATGACTATTGAATGGCATGCTTGAACAATGAAGAGATGGCCAGGCGTCTCCCTTTCTGCAGAAATCAAAACTAACCCAAAGAAAAAAACCGTCATGGTCACTAAAGTCAAAAATTACAGATCTGATATTTTTTCACCATCAGAGACAGAGAGAGAGAGCCTCCGACTTTATTTCCTTGGCTAAACATTAGAGCTGGACCATGGACAAGTGAACTGTAAAGTCGTGAGAGGGTGGGGAAGGCAGGCAGAGGCTGTGCGAGCAGTCCCAGGCAGGACCCATCCTTGCAAGACACAGAGCAAAGTAAAGTACATACTTTTGGCTGAATACACTAAATTTTGCTCCCATTTGAATGCCAAGTGGTTGGGGTAGTTACTGATGCTTTCCCACCCACAAACTTGTAAGTAGAAAGTTAAATCCATGTGATCTGAAGGGAAAGGGATAAGCTAAAAAATATGATTTTTACTTAACCCTTTATTAGCTGGGTCCCAAATGGTACCCTGCAAGCCATGAACTGAATCTCACTCACCTTTTAACTCAGAACAATGTGCTTAATGTTTGTTGAATTTAATTAAAGATCTCTTCTTAAATGGAAGCAGATATGTTGTTGGACCAAACTTAATTCCACAAAAGTTTTTGCTTCCTATTAATTTTACAGTCAATACTGCTTTTTATTCAGCTAATAATTATTCTTAATTGGAATGTTACTTTAAATAATGGTCTGAAGTTATAGCTACATTGTAAACTTTTACTGCCAGAGTACGTTAAGCAAATGTGTGTTTCAGATTCAAAACCATCTTACAGACTGTTCAGTTTCTTACACGAGCTACCCTGTGGCTCAGTGGCAAGCAAGACCAGCTTGAAGAAGCATTGAAACTGTGCTCGTGGTGATGAAATACTGAGACACATAGTAAAAGTTATTCCTCTAGTTACAATGAAAATTGTAGCAAGTTGGACATTCAGAAACTATAAATGCCTGGCCAATTAGCAACAGAGCTAAGACAGAGCTGTAGAATAAATTACAGTGCTCGGCAGGGTAGGAATTGTGCAGTGGCCTACACGGGGCTCCAAGCAGCTCTTTGCCAGGAGGCATCTTACTCTTCCAGCAGCTGGGTTGCAGGTCCAGCTGGTTACATCTCACTCTGTAAATATTCATTAGTGATGCTTCCATGTTGCCACCAAAGGGTAGCAAAGGGAGAAAGGCAGAACTGAGAATTGGCTGCGTTTTTTTTGAGGGGGGTGGAGGGGGTTGTTGTTTTATGTTTTGGTTTTTTAATACTTAATTCATTAATTTTTTTACTTACAGATGTCCCTCTTTTTTCCCCTTTGACACCCTCCCCTCTGCTCCCTCTCCCACCTCCCCACCCTGCCTTCATCGTACTGTTGTCTGTGTCCATTGGTTATGCATATAAGCATATAAGCTCTTTGGTTTATCTCTCCTGCACACCCCCCCCCTTCCTTCTGGGATTTGTCAGTCTGTTCCCTACTTCCGTGTCTCTGGATCTATTTTGTTTGTCAGCTTATTTTGTTCATTATATTCCACAAATAAATGAGATTATGTGATACTTGTGTTTCTGTGACGCTTATTTTGCTCAACATAATACTCTCCAGGATCCTCCACGTTGTCTCAAAGGATAGGAGATATCTCTTTCTTACAGCTGCATAGTGTTCCATTGTATATATATACTACAGCTTTTTTTATTTTATCTATTTGTCTACTGATGGACACTTGGCCTGTTTCCAGATCTTAGCTATTGTAAATAGTGCTGCTATGACCATAGGGGTACACACATTCTTTCTGACTGGCATTTCAGACTTCTTAGGATATATTCTTAGACGTGGGATCACTGGGTCAAATGGCAATTCACTTTTTAATTTTTCGAGGAAACACCATATTGTTTTCCATAGTGGCTGCCCTAGTCTGCATTCCCACCAGCAGTGTACTAGAGTCCCCTTTTCTCCACACCCTCGCCAGCACTTGTTGTTTGATGATTTGTTGATGGCGGCCATTCTGGCAGGTATGAGGTGATACCTCATAGTCATTTTAATTTGTATCTCTCTGATGATTAATGACATTGAGCAATTTTTTCATATGTTTCTTGGCCATTTGTATGTCCTGTCTGAAGAACTCTATTCAGGTCCTCTGTCCATTTTTTCATTGGATTATTTGGCTTCCTTTTGTTGAGTCATACAAGTACTCTATATTTTGAAAATTAACCCTCTATCTGATGCATTGTAGGGAAATATGATTTCTGGAATCCCTTT